CGACTGCGTCAGGCTCATCGGCTGCGTCAACTCGGGCGCCGCTGCTCCGTTGGTCGCTCGGGCCTCGTTGCCCGGGCGCCGGCGCTGCTTTGGTGGCCCGCTTGGCGGTGCTGATGCACTCCTCTGCACGTCATCCCATGTTGTCCATCATTGCCGGCCTCATCTTGGACTCCGCCACCACCCCGCCTCCACCAAGCAGCGTCCCTGACCTCGCGCGCGGTCGGCTTGATCACCCGCTCGCCACCGCGATCCACCTCACCTACGCCGCGCGACCGACCTGGCCCGTCGGTTACACGCGCCTCCGCAGGTCCCGCGAAGATCGTCCCCGAGTTCAGCCCGCCCCTCTACCGATCGAGCAACGGGCCGCCGTCGTGTTGCCCCGTCGGGCCGCAGCGCCACCGCCCCGTGGTTCTCCTTGCGGCTGCATCGACTTGCGCGTCGCCGCTGCGTCACCCCTGCGGGCCGTAGTGCCGCGATAAGCGGTCCCAGCCACGGCCCCGAGGCCGTCCCCGCAGTTGCACCGACCCGCGGTCCGCCGCTGCACCGCCCCTTCGGGCCGTAGCGCCATGGCTCGCGGTCCCCGCCGTCGCCCAGACCTGCTCGCTACTGTTGCGTCGCCCCTTTGGGCCATAGTGTCGCGGGCCATGGTCCACTTCACCGTCCCTGCGCGTCGACTTCATGTGGTATGCGTCGCGCAGTCTCCCTTGGCGCGGGAACGCGACCGTTCGCGCCAGTCTTCATCACGCTGTCAGGGTTCTTCGCATATTTCGAGCATCGCCGTCGTGCTCCTAACCTAGCCGCCGCCGCCGCCGCTCTTCTTCGGCCGCCGCCGCTCTTCTTCGGCCGCCGCCGCCACTAGCCTCGTAGCTGCCGCAGCCGCCTGCCCACCCCCTTCGTCTTCGTCCAGCACCAGCCCGTCGCCAGCATCGCCGTCATCTACCCCAACCGCTTCATCTATTCCGACAACCGCGGGCGACATTGGCCCCGCGCCGATTGGCGCCGCAACCGTCACCGAGTCCTTCTCTGCTGGCCTCTCGGACTTCTTCGACATGGCGTACAGCTCGTGCAGGTCCCAGTCTACGCATGCCCGGTGCTGGCAACACTGTCGCGTGCCTTCGTCCACGACGTGTCCCCGGGCCTGGCAAGCCTGGTGCGGTGCTTCGTCAACTTCGTCTTCGTCCGTCTACGCATGCCCGGTGCTGGCAACACCATCGCGTACCTTTGTCTACAATGTGTCCCCGGGGTTGGAAACCCTAGCGCGACGCGTCGTCAACATCAGCTACTTCCCGGCGCACCACTACTTCGACACCACTGCGCCCATGCTAACTCGGCGCCCCCTTGCGCTCGCGGCTCCACGACGACTTCCTCAACACCGGCCACCCCGACTCGACATCGACCACGGCATTCTTCGCACAACTACCTTGACCACGGCTCCACCACCCACGCTCTCGGCTACCTCGACAACGACATAAAGGGCTACCGACTTGCTTGAGCAACCTCGTCGGTTTTCACTCTAGCAACGACTCTGCGATGCATCAACTGTTACGACTGTGGGGGTGTGTCCGTCGACTTGCCTTCGAATTCTTCTCCAGTCTCACCGTCTGCGCCGCTACCGTTGTGACTGCGGGGGGATGTCGAGTATCATGATTATTAGGAAAGACGAGATAGACTAGGATTTGTTCTGACTTGTCTTGTACTTCAAGTAGATCATTGTACTCCTATATATATGCCCACGAGGCTCAAGCAATACAACGAACTATTCCACCAAATTCCTCTCTCCCTTCTAACAGATATGAAATATATAATGTGTTCGATATGAAATCATACGAAAATTTGTTCGATATAAAAAGTTAATTGCTTATTATAGAATTAAAAATAATGGGCTAACAAACCTGCTTATTGGGACATTGCATTGCAGATGGTTACTTATTAGGTTCCATGTATGATCGCCACTTGCAACACCCACATATGCTACAAAATGAGCGTTTGAGATCAAAGAATCACCACACGATTCAGCCCTAGACAACGACTGTGATGCATGAAGTAACCCACACGCAGCCGGCATCACATCGTGTGCGATGGACGATGCAATCCTACACAATTGTTTGACACTACTACACACAAAGAAAGAAACATGAAAGACCTGCAAGTAATGTCGAAGCCCGGTGCACATCGGCACCAAGAACATGGAAGCAGAGAAGGCTCAAGGATCAGCCAAAGGCCCGCAAGTACTGAGCGCAGCCGAATCATGGGATTGGGATCACGAAACCTGTCTTCCAACACCGAAGAAGACCCCAATCCTCTCGCCTAGGCTCGAAGAGCAGGTGCCGGTCGAAACCCAGAGCAGGCATAGCTCACAGTCCTCACTATTGTCGTAGGCACACCACTAGTTGCACTGCCACCTGCGCGGGGCAACCGAGAACAGAAGGAAAGCCGCTAGGAGGATTGTCGAAGAAACCAGCTGCAAATACCCAAGGGCGAAGCTTGGGAAGCCTCTGCTTGGACTCGCAGCCGACGCGCGCTCTCCTACCTCGACACCACTCACCTGGAGAACCAGACAACCCAAGGCGGCGCCTCCAAGGACGGAAAGATGCGCAAGACGCCGCCGCCACCCAACCCGAGACGAGTTTTGGGCTTTCACCCGGGATCTGGGACAAGGATGGATAGGGGAGTCCTCATCGGTGCCTCGAAGGAGAAATGCAATGCGCGCATGCGCCATCACCGCCGTGGTCGGAGATCCGACCAAGGGTTTCCCCCAGACTCGAGCTATGCCACCGGCACCTCGCCAGCACCGGAAACGGCAACCAAAGCTGCAGATCGGACACAGCCGGAGGGGAGGAGTGAGTAGAGGAGGAGGAGCAGCTCGACCTTCAGATCTGGAGCAAAAGAAGTTGCGCCACGACCACCACCCGATGGATCCACGCCGCCCGAGCAGCCGAGGACGCCGGCCGTCACGTCCCGCGCATGCCGCCTACCGCAGAGGCTGCGCCGCCTCGCCGACCGGGGCCGCCACCCCAGAGTCCGGGGTCCTTCGCAAGGGGAACGAAGCGATGAGAGGCCTCGCCGCCACCTACATCGGCGGCCCCCGAGGCTTGCCTGGCATCCCTCAGGTGGCGGCGAGGGGAGATGTTGGAAGGGGTGGCGGCGTCGGGGGGAAACCGTAGTCACCCCCGGGACGCCCGCTAGGGACGACATGGGAGCTGGGGGGGGGGGGAGTCCTGTACGATGCAATCCTACACAATTGTTTGTCCACAACCGCGTCCGGTACACTGGCAGGACACACATGTTTCTAAGAGAAAAAGCATGTGCAATGATCAGCATATCCCATACCGTTTTTGTGGATCAGTATATCCCATATGGTTTCTTGTGCTATATCATGTGTAATACCCTTTTTTTGCGGGGACATGTGTAATACCATGTACAGATGTCACACGTTTTGTTACGCCTCAATGCTTGTGATTGCTCTCCCTATCGCACACGATCTCTTTCGTGCATATGGTGTGTGATAGGTGGATACGAGGAGATCAACAAGTGGTGGGGGTGCTTGAATGTTTGTAACACAATTATCTGTACGGCGTAACCGCGGAAACACACATGATTTTAATGAATACTCCTTCGTACCTAAATATAAGTTTTTTTAGACATTTTAAATGGACTACAACAACATACGGATGTATGTAGATATATTTTAGAGTGTAGATTCACTCATTTTGCTCCCTATGTAGTCACTTGTTGGAATCTCTACAAAGACTTATATTTTAGAAATGGAGGGAGTAGATGATAGCAAGCTTAGACTAAAGCAACCAAGTTATTTTTCTCTTTTGAAATAGTACTACCTCTGTCCGAAAATACTTATCATCAAAATGATATCTAGATGTATTTTAGTTCTAGATATATCTTTTTTTTGTCCATTTTGATGTTAAGTATTTTCGGCCGGAGGGAATAGTAAATAAATAGAATACTTGCCGGTTCATCAGGAAATAACACACACGCGCGCCTTCATGGTCTAGTTCTTTTTATAAGACCTTCCTTCATCACGTCTCGTCCTTTCACAAGAGAACGCCAGATCTGGGATGGATGTGTTCCAATAGCTGCATCCAGAAAATTATCATTGGGAAAATAAACTGTGCCATTTTGATGGATATGAAATATATAATGTGTTCGATATGAAATCGTGCGAACATTTGTTCGATATGAAAAGTTAATTGCTTATTATACAATTAAAATAGTGGGCTAATAAACCTGCTTATTGGAACATTGCATTGCACATGGTTACTTATTAAGTTCCACGTATGATCGCCACTTGCAACACACACAGGTGCTACAAAATGAGCGTGTGAGATCAAAGAATCACCACACACGATTCAGTCCTAGACAACGACTGTGATGCATGAAGTAACCCACACGCAGCCGGCATCACATAGTGTGCGATGGACGATGCGATCCTATGCAATTGTTTGTCCAAAACCACGTGTTGTGATGCACGAAGTAACCCAAACGCAGCTGGCATCACATCGTGTGCCATGGACGATGCAATCTTACACAATTGTTTGTCCACAACCGCGTTCGGTACGCTGCCAGGACGCAAATGTTTCTAACAGGAAAAGCATGTGCAATGATCAGCATATCCCGTACCATTTTTGTGGATCAGTATATACCGTATGGTTTTTTGTGCTATATCATGTGTAATACCCTTTACAGATGTCACACGTTTTGTTACGCCTCAGTGCTTGTGATTGCTCTCCCGGTCGCACACGTTCTCTTTCGTGCATATACGAGGAGATCAACAAGTGGTGGGGTGCGTCAATGTTTGTAACACAATTATCTGTACGGCGTAGCCGCGGATACACACATGAGTTTAATGAATAGATGGTAACAAGCTTAGACTATTTCTCTTCTGAAATAAATAAATAGAACACTTGCCGGTTCATCAGGAAATAACACACACGCACGTGGTGATTTAGGAGAGTAGCAATGGTAAGCCTAATTAAGAGCAAAGTCTAAGATGACATGGAAAATTTCTCAATGAGCACGTCCTCATAGCATGGTCGATAAGTAAATGAATCGTAAACACCGCAACCTGCTTGCACCGTGTCTTTGATGAGCTGGTAATAGTTGCTTAGATACTGCATCCTTAACGTGTCGAGATGGTACACTACCACCGTGCCGTTAAGCATGAGAATGAGTGCATTCTTATATGGGTGGAATCCCATAATATCGCAGGAGACATCCCTTATGGACATATCATGGTGGCCAGCACGTTCGACCACATCGATGAAATTGTCCTCGTCGGAGTCCCAAGAGTATTCAGAGTCATCTCCATCACTTTCGTTCTCCTTTTCATCCTCCACGTCATCGTCGGTCAAACTGACTGGCCCATTGGTGCTTTCAACAATCGCCCATGTCACCTCGAATTGTGTTTTAATAGTCCTAATCATATGGGCATGCAGGTTGAGGTTTGCGTCATGTGCTAATGTCCAGCTTAGTTGACCATCTACTGATTCGGTTAGCATCCATAAACGGAGTAGTGAACCGCTGGACGCCACATAGTGTACCCCTCTCTCATAGCTTGCTAAGACAGAATTTCTAGGCAGGTCATACAAGCTCTTTGCCCTACAGGTTTCGCCAGGGAGTTGGACCATATCATAAGTCCCCTCTGTAGGGCGTAGGATCAAGAGGACGCTGTTGTGGCAGTGCATGTACAGCGACTCACGCCAGTATTCACATGAGCAGAAGGCTCCCCCGTAGCTCTTGGGTGGTTTGGCCACCACGTCGTAGAGGTGCCCCGGGGCGCAGCGTCCAGGCGCGAACTCTCGGTTCTCCCAATGACATGTACGGGATGAGTACACTAGCATAGACAACAACTTTTCCGTTGGCTCCTCGACCCCTTCCGCTTGCACTTGCTCGAGCGGCGGAACATCGCCTTGCTCCTCCACCTTGAGCATGCCGCCCTTCTGAAAGAGGAACACATGGTAGTGCAGCGACACGGCCGGGTCGAAGGCGAGGGACGCGGCAAAGCTGCACCACGGAGTTGTCGGGCGCGGCAGATGTGTGTATCGTGCCGTCGCCGGGTTGAGCACGTAGTGGTGGCCGCACTTGTCGAGAAGTAGGAGGCCGTTGCAGGACTGGCATACGGTGGTGTCGTCGTCCAGATGGAAGGGGAGTCGAAAGCGTGTAGACGACGGGGCGAAGAAGGACGTATCAGACCCACACCCGAACTTGTTAATGAAGAGGCCGGGAAAGGCTCGCCGGGGGAAGCAGCGCTCGAGGGAGAGCCCGTGGTCGTCGAGGATGTCGCGCCACAAGCGGCAGACGCACTTGGACGCAGCAACGTCGCGCCAAGGCAGACGTCGGAGGATGTCGAGGAGCACGTTGTAGGGAAAACACATGCCACCGCTGTCGCCCTCGCCGGCAGCATCCATGGTTCAGCGGCTCGTTCCGCAGTCAACTGCGCTCTCTCATGGTGCACGCGCAGCAGGAAAGCCGTGCTTTGCGATGTGGGGTGCTCGGATTTTTCTTGTTTTCCAAGGCTTAAATCTCCATGGCGTCTCATCAAACCTTTACCCCTACAGCTTCCTTTTAATAATAATAACTTAGTAAAAGAAGACTTGATCTTCACGGCATCTAAAAGTCTTTCCGTTTGACGTACAAGCATGCATCGTGACGTGATGACGTACAAGCTTGTGTCAATACCTTTGAAGATGTAATATAAACCTTAACAGTTTGTCTAATTCACATCTAGTTGTTTTCTAAGGATGTCACATCTAAGCTCATATAAATACACAACAACAAGGAACAAAAAAATGCTGGGACAAAAAAATACAGTTTGTCTAATTCACATCTATATGTTTTTTTAAGGATGTCACATCCGAGCTTCCATATAAATATATAATGCAGCAACAAGAAATAAAAAAAAACTAGGACAAGAAAAAAAGACCACAAACATAGTGGACATCAGCTTAGATGTGACATAACTATGTCACATCTAGATGTGTCCTAAACAGACCCAAAAAAATAGGCCACAAACATAGTGGACATCTGGTTAGATATGACATAATTATGTCACATCTAGATATGTTTTAGACAGACCCAAAGATTAATGTTCCCAATTGACCGACCGCACATTCATCAAGGGATCAAATCTGATCCAAGAGGCCCTGAGAGAAGACCTCCTCTGTGCCTTATCCTCTATCGATCAAGTACATATACATGTTATCCTCTATGCCGTTCCGCCGCTATACCACCCCTTCCCCTGCTGCAGCAAGTGCTGCCGAGGAGTTACAAGGCTGACCGTGCTGCGTTCCTTGACGACGCAAGTGGCCTACTGTGAGTTGTTGGTGACATGAGTGATTGTCCAACAAGGGGGCAGTGCAATTAGGAACAATCTTGTCATGTTAGGTGGGTGGAGTAAAAATTGCGTCGTAGCTAAGCCGTATGAGCTTTTGGTGGTCTGGCACGCTGATGATACTCATGTGTTTGTTACACAGTCCGTGAAGTTGGCAAGGGTTCGTCAGGTAGGCCGCGATCAGCTGAAGTACTTAGTGTTCGAAAGATCAACGCTGCATTCTACAGAACACATTTTGTAATATTCTGCAGAAGGCAGTATATATAATTTCGCAAAAAAAACCAGTATATAAAATTCCGCAAAAAAAAAAGCTCACCCTCTATCATAATATAACCTATCGTGTAGCTTATGGCGATGGATCAACTAGGAAAAAGCTCATCTGAAATGTGACAGAATTATATTCAGATTCACTGACGAAACGCAATGAGCGCTGCATTTTCCATTGAAATAGAAGGAGAAACGAGTACAAGTACACAAGCGAAAACAAGGGAAAACAGAAGAGGAAACAACTAAGCGATTGACTACAGTAGGAACAAGCAGCAGCACAGCACAGAGCGGGCAGTAAACTCAGCCTGGGTCGATCGCATCCGCGCTAGTTCAAGAAATAACCGGCACATGCCAAACTATGTGCGTGGCTTCGGGGAGGTCACGGGCCTTTGCACCAACTTCCACAAGAGTTCGTTTGTGCCCATCCGTTGCAACCATCTCGATTTGGGTAATTTAACCCAAAATTTGTAGGCAACAAGGACGTCCTTCCCTTTGCGCTACCTGGGACTCGCCCTATTTGTTTGGAAGCTAAAGTTGGTGGATCTTCAGTTCCG